AGATCCAATAGCTTTAAAAGAGTCAACCACATGTGGCTCTCCGTAAACTCTCCACTTCAACACCAAAGATAATCCATCTACACTAAAACCACCGTGTGGTAGCCTATAGCTAAAGCCTGATTTAGACAACTGCTGATTGTCAAGATGTAAACATACCAAAGAATCACTCATGACAGATAGCTTTAAGAGGGAACAATGAGCAGACACACGTTGATCTTTACAAATCAGGCAGAAATCAGGTGTCTGCTGGGCAGTAATGAACCACTCCTCATTTCAGTAGCAGACACTGAGGCTGATTGAGAGGTGCGTTTGTGTGTCAAGTGTCTGTGAAATGCTCTCGACAGGTCCTTTGACCCGCTAACCACACACCACCTCTGCATCACTGCAGGCGTGCGTGTGCATGTGCGTAATGTTCACATGCTGGGTCGCTGCTGGGGTCTAATTCCTCTGCAGTCATTCAACCTGCTGCACCTCAGTGTAACAGTGCCCCCTGCTGTCCATTCAACCCACATCTGAACATTCAGCAACAGAGTAGCCTGCAGCGTAGATTTCTCTTAGGATAAAGACAAGCAGAAGTGTAGCCCTGCAATCACCCAACAAACTCAGACAAAAAAGATTACCCACAAACCCTTTGATACACATTTGAATGTTTGTTTCTTAAGACTCGTAAGGCGACTTGCTGTGTGGCCACGTGAGAGGTTATTTTCAGGTTACAAAAGGAGAACAATCAAACAGGGACGATACTCCCAGTGTTTAAACAAATTCTTATGCCCAAAGGTAGGGAGTGAGGGGGGGGGGGGGGGGGGGTCTGCTCTGTTCTAGTGGCCAAACGCAGAGGTCAAATGTCACAATATAGGATTCTGAGTGCCAATGATGTTTGCCTCTTTATGATAATCAGAGAACAGGTGCAGGCCGCCCGTGTCAGGCCTGTGTTGTTACAACCGTCAAACTGCGAGCACCACTCGGGCACGCTGCCTATTCCATACCTCAGAAACACATTGATGTGATCGACATGAAACACAATGAAAATGAATGTAAATAGTATTTAATTTCATCTCTCTTTCTCTCTCTGTCTCTCTATCTATTCTCTATTTATCTACTCTCTTGCTACTCCCCCCGTTGTGTCTTTTCTTTCTCCTTTCCTTAACTATTGATGCGGGGTAATAATAGTACCATAGTCACATGGTTTCTCTCTTGTGACTATTGTGCTATGTTGTGCTGAATATGTAAAGAAGCACCTTGTTGATAAAATGAAAAATGTAAAGATGAAAAAACAGAAGAATCAACAGACTGATCCTATGCACAGGCGGAGAAGGATTTCCACAAATGACAAACTGTGCATATTTGTGAATTTATGTGATGGAAGGACCTGATCTCTGAAGCCCTTTGACTGTCACTGCATTCCTCTGCTGATGGATGTTTTTTGGTTACCATGAGAACCACCACATTACTTTGTGTCTTTTTTAATTTTATCTTTGTGGGCAAAGCCACTTGTTGTGTAGCATCTTCTAGCGGGAGATAATCATATTAGAGATGGCGCAGACAGGAGGAGGAAGGGTGACGCAGGAACATCAGAGGCCCGCCATCTTCGGACTGGAAGGAAGCATTTTACTGACTTTCTTCCACAGTTTGGGTTCTGCCGTGCACTATAACAGATTCCCTGGTGGAGGTGTCACTTTAAAGACGTCCTCTAGAGTCCAGAGGGAAAAACTGTAGCTTTCAGTGCAGATATTAGAAGCTCAGACCCAGAGCGTTAGTGATGGAAACAATTGTGTGTGTGGCTACCTCACAGAATAGAGTGGACTGTGACACAGCCATCGATACCAAAGATACTTTTAGCCTGCCGTGTTCAAACTGGACCTGGGACGTGCACACACACACACACACACACACACACACACACACACACACACACACACACACACACACACACACACACACACACACACACACACACACACACACACACACACACACACACACACACACACACACACACGCACGCTTCTTATTGCACATACATCCACAGAGCAGTCGTGCTGCATGGCGAACACATTGAGGTGTTTGTTATGTGGGAAGTGTTGAGTGCCTTTTTCCTTCAACAAAGGGATGGACTGCTCTGCACACACCCACACATGAACACACACAGTGTTCCAAGTGAAGGGGGGCACACACTGGGTGAAGGGGGAGCACCACAGGAGGAGGTCCTCATTACATCAAACAAGCAACTTTGATTTGAATGTAAAACGCACTTTTTTTTAACCCAATGAGGGGATACGATTGTTTACCGCCACCCTTTTGTTTTTAAATGTTGTTAACATGCTTGTGAGACAATGTCCTCTCACATCTTCAGGATACACACACCCACACACACTCCCACCAGAGATATTTTTGTGTAATTTGTAACCGGGTGTAGGTGTGTGTGTGTATCTGAATGTTTACAAAGATCCCGCTCTCTCATTGGCTCACATCTAAAACTTAAACCTTTGTAACAACCTACCCATGATCAATAAGTGCAGAAGTGATGAGACCTTTCAGCTCCAAACAGATACTAGATGCCCTCCGCCCATCCAGACCCTCTTCGCTGGTCCCTCCGTCCAGTAGCATCACATCGAGGCAGGCATGTGTAGACAATTCATCTTGATATACCTCAAATCTTTATTGTAAAGGTTAATGTAGTGAAACAATAATGACAATGTTTAGCAATGAGAGTGACATTAAGGTCACAGCAAAATGATTGTTCGTTTTTTTTAATTTCTTTAAAGGAATGTGTGGAGTAAGCCGTCTTATGCTTTGACAACTTCTGATTAACATTAAATTATTGTTTGTATAGGTTTGCACGTTGTCCTTTTTGGAGTAAAGAGAAAGAATCAAAAGGAGGATTTGGAATAACTAAACAGGCAGGAAAGGACAATATATGATGATGTAGTATTATGGGAGGACGTAATCAGTGACAAAAGATTGAGTACAATTTAAGAAGCATATTGTTAAATTGAAGGGTAAAATGACTCATCAAGGACTCACTAATTCCTGTTTTGCATCAGTTTTTGGCTTATTTTGTGTTTGAAGATTGTCTTCTTTGTGTGTTAAAGTGATTCCCATATTAAAAAAAGAGAACCAACCGAAGCACCTCTGTCATTAGGGTTGGGACAATTCTTTTATGCATGGATACTATATAAGTGTATATAAACTGCAGGATAAACTGTACCTCTACAGGTGGAGGAGAGGGGGAGAAACAAGGAAAAACAACTGGGTTTTTGGTTCACAAATACATTCTTTTTTTAACCCTGTGTTTTATGTGCTGTTTGTGTATTTGTATAAAATGTGTGTATTTGTACGTGTTTCAGCTTCATCGCTGTGTGTCTGTCCTCCTGTTGTATGTAACCCTTTCCTTTGTGTGGACGTAGTGTCCACACGTTCATGTCTGTATCTACCCTTTGTCTCATCACACAGGTGTGATTTTCTCTTGTTTTGTTCCTGTATTTCAGCTCGTCCTGTTTCAATCTGAATTCGACCGGCCTGGTGTTTGTCTGCTGTAGGAGCCGGCTGAATCATAAACAAACAGACAGCCTGGCAGCTGAAATACGGGTTAATTCCAGTGCATCAAAATGGCGTCATTTCGTAATTTTTTTCCTTTGACAGAGCTCAGAGCTCTGTAAGCCCAGTGTCGATGTTCTCTCCCTCTTCCCTTACCAACCAATCAATCAATCAGAACCAAGTGTCTTTGTGATGGTAGAAGACAATCAATTTCAAATAGAGCAGAGACAAAAAAAAAGGAGGGCAAGGGAAAGAGAGCGATGGATGAGGGCAGAGAAAATGACTGGACAGGAGAGATGGGAGGAGGAAGGATGGCTCAGAGAAATCAGTGTGTGTGTGGTCACCTTTAACCTCTGCAGTGACCTTTATGGTGGGGGCTGAGGCACCCTGGACCCTCCCCAGGCCACAATGGAGGTGGTGGTGAGGGGGTCTGACTTGTTAAGTGGACACCTAATCGAAGATGTTGATCAAATGCCTGCGCCTGCGCCTGCACACACACACACACACACACACACACACACACACACACACACACACACACACACACACACACACACACACACACACACACACAACACGGTCGTCACAGAGCCTTTTCTTCTGATCCTCATCTCCCAATACCAAAGTGACTCTGTTCGTCACGTTGATCTGCCTTCAGGGGAAGAGTCGAGTAATAAATGAAACAAATAATACACTAAGTGAAAACCAGTATGGTTAAATTGTGTGTTTTGACTAAAATGAATAAAGAAACAAGCAATTGGCTGACTGACTTCATTTTCTGTGTGATGGTTTCTTACTGTGGTGCATTGTTGCCATCTGCTGGTGTAGATGAAAAATGTGTGGTAACCCCAGTGAAGAAAACACAGCATCGCCATAGCCACGGTTACGAAAAAACTGTTCGCTTAAATGCTAGAATAACTCCCCCAGGATTATAAATGTTTCCTTATTTAATATAGAAAAATACCTAAATGAAAACAAGGTTATAGTGGTTTTCATTTCATTTCTGAAAGCTTAATTCAAAGCCATGTTCTGGTGAGGAATACTAATTCCTGTATGCCTTTAATGTTTGTGTGTTGACCTAAAATAAGTAAAATACAACACTGCAAAGACCCAGGGTTTTTCTCACTTATATTTCTTAATTTTTAACACCCCAAGGGTTTCTTAAACCTCTCAGAAATAAATAAAACGAAATGACCTCAGTGGAAGGCCATGTTCAGTATATACGAGACAATAGTGTGCTTTAAATGTAGCAGTAAAAGCACAGATGGAATGATGATATCAACGTCATGGTACTATTCTTACATTTTAGTTTTCCCAAGATGTTTTTGGACTGTTTTCCAATTTCTACGATATGGTAAACCATCATATTTCTCATGTAGTGTAGCTTGCGTGAGAGTTTCTATGTTTTTTATGACACAAATGCTAGGAAACAAAAGCAGGAAACAAGAAGAGACACAGGACAATTTTGACAGAGTCACATCATGCTTTTATGACGAAAAGGAGTTCATTTACAAGACGGACAGTATATAAAACAAACATTAAAATAAAAAAAGGACTTATATGTTGTTGTTTTTTTTATAGACGAGTACATTATTGTCTCATCCTTCCCTTTGAGACCAAGCAGCCATGGGACTGAGCAAAACATGGAGGATCCCTGGAGAAAAGAAGCAGCAATTAAATCTTATATTACTATTCCTACACTATTTACAGTTCAACAGTCATTGTCCTCTGTCAGACATGGCAAAGAGGTCTACAGATTTGATGACATGATATGGCTAAAAGATCTAATATGTACAGTTTCTGTTCTTCCCATCCAAGGATCCACTCATCGCAGGGCAAAATCGAAATGTTATGAATCAGTACTGTCACACGTTCTTGCAACTAGAGTCCAAATTTGAGTTACAGCTTCTATTATGAGGCCGTCATATGCTTTAATGATTGATCAGTTGACACCGTTCAATGTGACAAGCTGAACAACTTGTACTTATGTTAGCTCTGCATTTAATTGGAGCGCTCAGCACCCATTCCTAGGTTTCAGGAGTCAGTAACGACCGTGTCAACAGGGAACAAATATGCATTAGCTTAAAAACTAGGAGTGATCGATGAAAAGTGTTCTGAAATGTTTAACGAGGTCGGTGCCAAGTAAGTTGATAGAGAGAGAAAAGACAGAGTGAGACAGAAGAGAGAAAAGAGAGAGGGAAGAGAAAACGTTTTTACCGTGCCAAATTGAGAAAGAGACTATATATTTTATTAGAGGGTTCCGACAAATGCAGAGCTATATACGTTAGTGACAGATTCCTCTGAAGAGTGGAAGAGGTAAGACAGCGTTACATCAGCTAAGACCTGGGGGGAAAAGTTGAAATCTGGCACCATCTCGTTCTTTAAAGAGGGAAATCATCTTAAAAGGTAATGAGGAAACCTAGGAATGGGTGCCAACCAGGTCTGTAAGAGCTGTGAACGCCTCTTCCTTCTCCAGAGGGATTCTGGGAGAGTGGCAAGGTTCAAGATAGATCAATGAAAGTATGCCATTAATAATCCTATCCCCATACAGCATTGATCAGTCCCACCATCCTGCTTGGAATATCAATCGTTTTATCTACAGCTTACACATCCCCTGTGTGGATAGATATGTGTAAAAGTACAATCATCCCGAGTAAACAAATGCTTATTCTGTAAGACGCACACTTCTTTAATGTGTCTCTGAATGCAGGTTATCATTAGCCCCTTTGCTTTGTTGTACCAGATTAAAAACACTGTAATGGTCCCAGCTGCTCTTGCAGTAAGTCGGTTTCAACCAGTCCCATGGCCAGCAACATGGCACCCATAGCTCTCCGTACAGGTGTAGGGGAGAGTTTGGCAAGAGCAATCACTGTATACAAAAGGCATGCATAGATTAAACCTGCTAAGACCACAAGAAAGAACGCTTTTTTTTTTCTCTAGAGAGGAATCGACCATTTTTCTGATTGGTCATATACAGAGAAAGATTGGTGATGTCTTATCTTTGTTTGTTACTGATCTCTGTGAAGGGGGTGAGACTGGCGGGGTCTGAAAGTACTCTTCTAATCTACAGACTGAGTGCCAGCTAACCAGGTCAGAACAATTGTTTCTGATTTCAGGTGGAGGCCTCTCCTCATAACTCCAAGCAAACATCGCCCGCGAAGGGGGTCACACTATGGCTATAATAAAAAAAATCAGTTTAGTACTGACTTTTGAATCTAACAGTCAATTTGCTCTCGTTAGTCTTTCACTGCATGAGACGCATAGCTGTTTTTTGTTTTCCCCACCACATACAATGATGCTGGTACATCAGCAGGATAATGGTCCCATTAGGTGCTGTTACTCACATTGACCACGTGGGGTCAGTATTGCCACATAGAAAATGGGGGAGGGGGCAGTTGCAATTGTTTGGTCAAGGTTATGATGAAGCAGTTGTGCTGTTCAAGGTGCTTTAGACAATCCTTCAGTAATGCTCTACCACACGTCTAATTAAACCTGAATCTGTTTACGATGACTGCTCTCCAAAACCATATTTTTTGTCCAATTAAAGGAAAGTACCATTTTAATATTTCTATCTCACAAATTTGTAAAAAAAAGAAGAAGATGCAATTACACCATGAATTGAGCCTCCAGGCTTTAAGTGGCACACTGCTCTGAGAGGTCTGTTATGGAAATGGGACTAATAAGCCAAGTAATGACCCAATCAGCTGAGCTCACTTCTTCGTCATCCCATTACTGCTCCTCTCAGCTCCGATAATTCAACTCAAGTCTAATCCAATCAAAACAGCAGCTGTAAGATCTGGAGGAGGAGATGGATTTATTTAGAGCTAATATGGAGTAAGAAGTAACAGGAGAACCAAAGGAATGCATGTAGGAATGCAGTCTCCTCGGATAATAGTGATAGCAAAACTAAGACTGCTCTTTCAGTTGAGAAATATAGGAATTTCTTCATTAGATTGTCAAAAATGGAATATTGGAAATATTGCATTGGAAACTGTTACATAAATAAAAAACTGAATAACTAATCTGGTAATGACGGCATGACTTTTGACGTTAGATTATTTTAGTCTGCGTCTTTGACAAGTTCCCCTGTGAAAGGTATCCTAAAAGTGAGGTTGCTGCTGCTTTAAATGGGGTGTCTAGACTAAAGTACACCCCAGGCAAGGGTGAGGCGGGGGAGGAAACGGGGGATTGCTCAGCCTACTTTCTCAAGTATCACGGCAGAGGAGATGAATCAAGCTCAAGCTTCACTACAAACACTGAGAGTCTGTCAACCAGAGAGAGGCGATGACTTGGCTGCAAAGCCGTGTGCACTGGCACCCTAAAAAAATAAATAAAGAGCTGCTGAAAAAATGTTTGGCTAAGGGTCCATCAATTAAAATGTTTAATGTGTTTCTGAAGCCTGTGGTACTAGATCTAATTGAAGCTAGTTTTCAAGGACTTGTGGGGCTTGAATAGTTACAAGCACTTACTGTATTTTCAACCCTGACCAACATGAACATGTCTATTTTCAGTGAATGAGCTGTGTCCTTGACAAAAAGTGAACCACAGTTGGCAGAAAGTGAGTGTAGGCCGAGAGTCACGGTATTAAAACAACACATACCCCCTTTCAACATTTGTAAGTGTGGCGAGATATCATCAGAGAAAATACATACAGTACAGTCCGTTTGGTTCATATCCGGACAAAGATCCCAGAACGGGAAAGTTCCAGAAGTGTTTTTTCAGGAATGAGTAGGGCGTGAAATGAGAACCAATGGTTATTTTTCTTATTTTTAGGGAACCTGGGTCACCCCTTTCATCTTTTGTCTCCACTGATCCAATCAATGCTCCGTGCTTGATGGTATCATGAGGAGCAACTAATCATAACACGACAACACTGAGTCACCGACCACATGTACGTGTCTACTACCACACAACCATAATCCAGCCTAATACTGTGAACAGGGACAACGAGGGGTGGACATGTTAAGAAGACAGGGAACAGGAAGAGGGGAGGAGCACAGTAAAGGGTAGGAAGATAATAAAACGAAACACACCCTCATCTACGCTTACAGTTGTGATTGATGATTGCACAATAACACCATCAACGATCACTATACAGACATTCTCACTGTCTTCTAAACCCTATGTTCTACTAAGAAATACCGGGACATGGAAACACAAAAGGGTTGGCTGGGGGAGAGGAAAGGTCCATGATGAGACGTCCTGTTCTCAACACTCAAATGGGCTGTGACCGTAAAATAAAAAATAAAACAGGCTGAGCCAATTTGTTTCTTCTATTCTCGTTGGGCTCATGAATCTTTAACAGCTGTTGAGTTATTCATCCTGACACAGAAACTGTGGTTTCATCACCGCTCACAAGGGACAAAGATTGAGTTTCAGAATTTATTTTGCAAAAGTTTGAAGAGTTTATGGTTCTCTCTGGGCAAACTACACATTTGTCTAAATAGGTTCTACATTTGCTGTAGGTATAGTTAGGATTAGTTATTCCAGTAACTATAACAAAAGGACTCCTGAAACTGAAGACATTTGTTCTCACACACGTCAATCATTTGATAGCAACAGCTTTTCATAAATCAGTCCCTACGTTTGTGTGCAGTGTCCTTCATAAACTCTTATTCACTACCAGCTAGTTTCAAAAGAGTGATTTGGGAAACAAGGTTGCCATTTCATGTGAGTAAGGTGTAAATAGATTTTTAGTTAATTTACATTAGGTAAGTAACATTTATGAAGTTTAAAATGATGCGTAATATCTTGTAATGCTAGTGTTATGTCTCAGCTTCGAGTATTTCAGTCACCTCTTTTACTCTTCACTGTGAGTAAGTCATATATAAGCGAGCTAGCATTAGTGTTCTATAAACAGTGACATGTTCATCTGTAGTAATACATACCTTTAACTATAGGTTAGGTTATAAAGAGGCTAAGTTAAAAAGAAAACCAGAAGATGTAAAACTTAGTATTTTAACTATTTCAATTATTCCCAGATAATCAGAAAAATAGACCATCTTGATTTTTCTTTTCTTTTTTTGTCGACCATCTGGTGACTCACCAATTTACCCTGTGACTCTTGGTTAGTGTACGACGCTTTAGATCCTGTCTCATCTTGATGTCTGCTTCCTGTTATGCACTCTGAGATGCAAACAGACACAAGCACTGTCCAGTGTGTGGAGACTTCATTAGGTGTTGAGAACAGAACAGTCCCACATGGAGGATGGGGAACATTAAAACGGTAAACAGCCAAAAGGTCACGGAGAACAACAACTGAGTAAAATAAAAATGGAGGACAAAAAGAACACTTCAAATTAAGTTTTTTGTTGTTTTTTGTTTTTAAAACCACAGTACTACTCTCCACTATACGACGCACATGGCGTGGGTAGGGTTAACACGACTTCATTTACATTTTATAATCCTCGGTCTCCAGCCAGGGACCCCTCCCAAAGGAGGACCCAGTGGGGGTGTGTGGGGGTGTTAGGGGTGAGTAGGGGGGATGCACTGGGCTAGGGGGGCAGAGACATTCGCACACTGACCGTCTCAGAGGCAAACAGAGAGCAGACGCGTCACACTTTGCTGTGGCACTTCATCAATCTGTATGTTTATGCATGTGTAACTGTGATTGTTCTTCCTATCAATCCAAGGAACCTTGATGAGGTTTTAGCACTCCTGTGTGTGGTGTGATGTCTGTGTGTGTGTGTGTGTTATGGGCTTGCAGGGTGCAACTTTTTGCAAGCCCAGCAACAGCAGATGGTCTTGTGATCATCACACCAACTTGTAAAATGGTAGTAGCAATAATTATTATCATTTAACAGAATCATGCACAAGCTACCGTATAAAAAACCACCTATACATACTATGGCTTTGTTTCTTCACTCAAACATTTACATTAATGTTGGCTTTATGGCTCTACTTACAGTATTGCTGGAATGTAATATTTAAAAAGAGCATGTGTGTCACTCTGTAGGATAGTTATTTCACTTTTCCTGAGAAAAGGTGCTATGATAGTGTTGCTATGTATGTTTCCGATGTGAAGACCACAACAGTGTTCCTGTGTGTCCTCTGTTTGCCTCTGAGTTTGACCTGACGCTCCGGGCTGCTCCCCCCTGGCAGCGCTGGGAAGGTCAGGCGTCCACCAACGCAGCAGAGGGCGGGACAAAGGGCGGAGGCCAGCAGGTTGACCCTCTCCTGTTGATGAAAGAGCATGATCGGGGCTTGTGATTTACCCAGCTAGCCTCCTGCAGCCATCAGCCCCAGTCCCCATTGCTCTCTACCGTGTTGGTTGCTGTGGTTACCGTGGCTGCCCGCGTCCGATGGTTTTGACTTCCTAACCAAACCCTCCGGGCCGCGGGCAGCCACGGCAACCCTTGGTCAGAGCGCTCGTCCCAAACTCACACAGCTTATGTTGTTGCAAAATCTCACAAAGAAGAGAAGGCCAAGTGTTTTTGTAATTTATGTGAATGGTCCAAATCTAGAGTTTGTTAAGAATAAAGGAATCTGTCTTTATAGAAAAACATATTCAATTTAAAACAATTTGTTTTATTCTGTGAATTTACAACTTAACTTCTAATTGCATTTGAACATGCGTGATTCTTATCCAGGCAGACTTTAGAAGAGCATAAATAGAGGTTCTATAAATGGATGGTAGCCAGGTCTCTCTTCATCAAATGTATTTTAAAATCCCTGACTGCACAAAATACAGTAAAGGGACATTTTAATTAAAGAGGAATTCTTTTTCATTATCTCATAATTGTATGAGAGAGAGAGAGAGAGACAGACAGGGCTACCGGTGTCCCACAGCTCAGTTTATATGCCAATTCACAAAACATATCTCTTTTAGTCTTAACTCTATTTATTCTTATCAAGCATAAATAGCTTTAAAAAAAATTGTACAGTATTATTCAGACATGATTTTCACAACAAGCTGAATAAAACCACTGACAGTGAGATCAGGGTCATTTTATTTTCATTCACAAACTAAATTGAGTAATAGCTTCAGTTTTGAAGTGGGCGCTTAATTTGTAATAGAGCCATAGACAGAAACGTATTGTGCTTTCAACCTTCTTTGCGAGTCAGTAGCTGTGTGTGTTTGCGTGTGTCAAACACGTTTTTGGGACGTGCTCATGCCTCCCCCAAGGGAACCCTGGCTGCGTTGTTTCATATCATTTTCATGTTGAACTTCCTGGTCCCTCCTGAGGAGCTACCAGTGACAGGTTCAGATTTCCGGAAGGAGTACTCCACTGTGAAGTTGTTCTTGCGTTGGCCGCGTCCCCGGCTCCACACGAACAACAGCAGGAAACAGAAGAGCACCACCCCCAGGAAGGTGATGCAGCCCATGGCCGTGGAGACCAAGATGGTCGTCAGGTCCAACGTGAACTTGAGGAAAACACGCGTGCTGTTCAGATTTGTGTCGTTGAAGAACTCGCCGCCGTACAGTGAGCGGTTGAGAAAGAAGGCTGAGGCAGCATCTAGCGGGTGGCTGCGCACTGTGAGTGTGGCAAAGTAGGTGTCATTGCCTCCGGCGTTACTGGCGATGCAGATGTATGTACCGCTGTCAGTGAGCTGGGCGTAGCGGATCTCTAAGGTGCCACTCGGGAGGACAGTAATGCGCCCTGAATTCTTAGCTGTGATCCGCCGGCGCTGTGGGGAAATCCAGATAATAGCAGGTGCAGGTTCTCCTTCAGCTCGACACAGAAAGCTCACAGGTTGGCCTTCACGAGCAACGACCTGGGGGAGTGGGAGGAAAGGAATGTACAGACCAATGAAAATACAGAAGAATAGATCGACAATAAATCTGTCAGTATAACAGAAAAAACGTGTTGTGCTTGTAGAATAAATTACAGTTACCCTAGTTATCAATACATCGGCATTTATACATTTTTGCGAGTGTATCATCTTCTTTACCTGCTGCATCTTACGGTTGCGAATCTTAGGTTTCTGGCATGTAAAGTGATCGAAGAGTGCAGAATCGGTGAAGGTGTTCAGGCTGACCCCTTGCACCTCCACCGGCCCCGCACACACCGGCACTCTGCCGTCAAAGTTGAGGGTCTTGCGTCTTTGCAGGATCCACAACAGACGGCAGTCACACATCAGGGGGTTCCCGTCCACTCTGAGGGTCTCCAGACTGTTCACAGAGTGGAAGGAGCCCTCTTCCAAAGTCTGCAGGTCGTTGGAGGAGAAGTTGAGGACCCGGATCTGTCGAAGGCCTCCAAAGGCATGGAGCTCCACTGTCACCAACCCTGTGCTTACCATGATGAGGTCCTTCAGCCTCAGCAGGTCCTTGAAGGCCCAGGGCTCCAGTGTGGTGATGGGATTGTAGGACAGGTTGAGGTGGGTGAGGTGCACCTGGTTCTTGAAGGAAGCGGAGGGGACGGAGGTGATGTTGGTATTGGTGATGGAGAGCCAGCGGAGGTCCAGGCCCTGGAAACTAAAAGGGGAAATGTACTCCAGGTACGGCCAGTGATCGATGTCCAGGCCCCGCAGGTTGGACAGCTTGCGGAAGTTCTGGTCCTCCAGGGCAATGATGCTGAGGTGACGGAGGCGAAGAGTAACCAGGCTGCGCAGGTACGACAGCGTCTGGCCAGATATGGATGTCAGGTTGCAGCGCTCTATTATGAGATCTTCCAGACCCAGCAGCCCTGAGAATGCCTAGGAATCAGGAAAATAAAAGGTTAAAGGTGGGGTAGGTAAGTTTGAGAAACCGGCTCGAGATACACTTTTTGTTATATTCCATGGAATGCTCTTAACATCCCGATAGCAATGAATATCTTAAGTGCTTTGACAAAAAATCCATAAAAAAATTTCATCTGTGGAAGCCGTAGTACTGTAAAAAGTACGACCAATCATTTTAGCCGGCCCGGCTAAAATAACTGGATGGCCTACCTGCCTGTCAGCCTTCCATCTGTGCACAAACTTATCTCGTGCCCTCATTGGTCATGTGCGCGTTCGTGTGTGTTGTATTTTCAAATTCTAGCACACTCGAGCTGGTTTCTCCAAAATTACCTACCCCACCTTTAAATAACATAACATTTTTATTTATTTTACATATATGCATGATGACTAGCAGTGGGTGTTTGATTATGATGTTAAACAAAACACACTGATGCTGTCGTAAGTACTGGGAAAAGTGCTCAACATATATTTTAAGTGTATACAAAATAATATATTTCTGAAGTTCAAGCTTAATTTATTTCATGATAAACATTATCTTCATTTGTTAAAGGAATAGTTCAACATCCAAATATCCCGTTCTTCATTAGTAACACAGTCATGATACAGACAAGCTGCTGGAGAGCTTACCTTGTGGGAGATATAAACCAGGTCGTTGTCTCCCACCTCCAAATGTTTCAGACTCCTCAGATCTTGGAAGGTGTAGTCCAATAAAATCACCATCTTGTTCTCGCTCAGGTCCAAGCTGGTCAGATTGCCCAGTTTGGCGAAAGCCCCCATGGGAACTAGCTTCAGCTGGTTCCCCCTCAACTTCAGCACTTTAAGACTCGGGAGGCTGGCGAAGGCATTGGGCTCTAATGTGGCGATGAGGTTCTCGCTGAGGTCCACTTCCTCGAGCCGTGGGTACGGTGCCAGGTCGCCTGCTTGCACCCAGCGGAGCCGGTTCTTGCTGAGGTCCAGGAGTTGTGTCTCTGTGGGGATGCCTTCTGGGATGTTGGTGAGCCGCCGCCGCTGACACGACACCGACCTCAGCTGAGCCGAACACTCGCACCGTGGCGGACAGGCCTGGCTACTTCCTGGAAGTGTCAAGGTTATTATGGCAACCAGAGAAGAAGCCAGGAGCCATCCCCACACCCTCGGCCATGGCACTAAGGCACGCCCACCAGGGCCAGGGGAGCCAATCATGGCCCTGGTCCTCTGACTCCTCGCCTGTCACAGGCAGGGTCAGTGCACCATACACCTAAAAGAGAGTGGAGAAATAGAAAAAAGATATGAGGAGATTGATTAGAGACATCATACTAGAGAAAGGGGATGTGAAGAAGATCATCTCCCTGGCTCATAAACATCCACATGGCTGTAAATGATCTGTTCCTGTTGTTTATGTAATATTATACCAAAAGAGAATTGAGGAATACCATGACAGGGCACTAAAATACATCTGATGACACCCCATTACAGGAGCACGGGTCTGTGTAATATATTTAAGATAATTCGTTTTTGCTTATTCATTTATAGTTTCCAGTTAGGAAACTGGCACACTGGGAGCCGTTTCTACAGCAAGGCAACTTCTTGCTTCAGCTGAATTCATGCATGTTGCATCTCCTCGGCTCTCTTTGCAGCTCTGAGACCGTCTGCTCCATTTTGACAAACACAATGAATTTATTATCACCACGCATAAATACAGACTCAGCTACTCAGCAATCACATTCTGCCTGGAAGCCACACACGCTACTGCTATAAATCGTGAGGCAAAATGGGTGTTTGAATCACTGTGTGCTTAAGTCATATTATATGTTTGATCTGCTATGTGTTGATGTATGTATGCGTAGGACTTGGCATTTTGGTGGGTATGAATTAAAAATCGTTTTGGTCCTCCTTGCGCCGAGATGAGATGAATCACTCGTGCTTGAACATTGCTTTAGGCAACCTGTCATCTCTCCCACACACAGTTTTCAACTTAGAGACAGTCAAAGAGCACCTGGCATTAGATCTGAAACACAGCTCAGTGTCCATCTAGCAGTAAGTGCTACTACTTTAATACTTTTATACTCTAAACTTGAGCAGAGTCTTTTGCTCTCATGCTATAAATGCTCACCAAAAACCCCAGAATTTGAACTCTTCACAGTTGTTTGTTTTCAGATGAAGTGGAAAAAGAGTGAATATGTCATCAGCACCACCAGGGAGAATAATGTTTAAATGCACTCTGATGGTGGAGGAAAACAGAGACAAAAAGATGTATTATATATGGGCTGGTTTGTGTTTAATAGGCAGTGATCAGAGGGCGAGTCTCAGCTAAAAACAGCCAAAAGTCACCATTCTCTCCCTTTGCTACGGGCTTTGCCTCGAGTCTCTTTCTAGTGAGATGGATTTGGGAAAACAGCCTCTTGAACGGCTAATCATATCTGACTGTTTCAATGCTTTGGCATCAATAGGATCAAACAGGATGAAATGGGATTTAAGCTAAATTTAAATGATGGCAGACGTAAAATCTTCGCACAACACTCACATATTTTCACACATGGTCACACACACAAACTGCAGTAAAACCCCCGGAGATTGTGTCTCATCTACTAAGCCTCGGGGTGGATAAGTCCCAAATGTTTTTGACAGGTCTGGAAAACCCTCTGTTTACAGATCTCATATCTGAAAAATCTGGTTAAAACCTGGCACAATTTGTATATTCTCCGAGTGACAAACCCAGGCAGAGAGAGGCTGCTGACCCACTTCTCAGCAGCAACTTAGCCTCGCACTATCAACCAGCAGCAACTTACCATGACCACAACAACAGAGCGGCTAACCACAGCGTCTCAGAGGAGAAAAGCCCAGGAGAGAAGCTAAAAACAAACACAGCAAGTGGACAGATGTTCCGAAATAACTAGCTATTTATATGACCAAATCAAACAAATGAGTTAGCCTGTAACTGACATGATATTTGCTATTCTTGCACCTTTTACTTCTTTACTCCTCAAAGGATGAATCCTCTGTCTTTGGTGAGCCCCTGATTCTTCCTCTAGCTCCAATAACCAGGTCAAATTGTTGAAAATTCAGTATCATATCTCAATGTCTACTGTTTAGTTTGGCACAAAATATTATGCACATTCATGATACAAAGATGATGAATCATACTGGCTTTTGAGACAACCTGACCATTTCTCTAGTGCAACCATGAGGAATTATATATACGGTATATCATTTTATTAAGACATTAGGGAGTTAAATATCTCTTTACAGACATCCAAGGGCCTTCTGAGGATCTACATTAAGCCCCTGACCTTTCATCCAGCACTATCTTTAGGTCAATATTCTTCAGGAGTATTTTCTAAATTCCAAGGATCAGAATTGTTTCCCACATAGGACCAACCAGGTTTATTAACGGCTGCAAAAGTATAATTGCCGTTAATTATTTGAACCATCTGCCCTCTCTTTTATTGGACAGTCAAGAGGGATGCCATTAATTTAAGCTCATAACTCATACTGTATAATTTAATATATTTCCGAACATTTCTTGTGTGAACATCATCCACATCTTACACTCTCTACTCAGTTTACCGTCATACTAAATGTGAAAAATACATTATGTGATTACAAACAGTGGCTGTGTCTTATATTTGGAGTGTATGTCGTTTCTGTGTGTGTGTCAGTGCACATGTGCCCAGCTCTTAGGCAGTGTGATTGATGCAGCCTGTCTCAACGCCCCCCCGAGAGTCATCGTACGGATCAGTGGCAGAGTCGCAGCATGAATCAGTGAGCTGACATTGTGGAGACACACAAGGTCCACACTGCTGGACTCAAGGACGGGCAGGAATCTTTAAAACACACACACACTTCATCAAACACACGGACCCTGAGGAGTCTGGTGTGCAGCAGACAAATAAATACACACCTTTCTCTCACTCCCATGGCATGGTGGTTGTTATATTGTTGCAGCAGGTGGTTTTATCTGCAGCCTGTCTCTTTATACGGTTTCAGAAGTGTTCAGAGTTGTCTTACATCTTGTTCCTGCATCTGGACATCCAACACACATGAAATCACACCATAGTCCCCAAATCTACTCCACAAAATGTAAATTAACATTTGCCAGATGTTAAGTCTCCACCAGTGGCAAATCCAATAAGTATCCAGACATATTTGTCTGCCACTGGCCAGCTGTCCAGGGAGAAAGGCAAAGAAAAAAGGCCCTAAAAATAACTAATTTTAGGGACCTGACCTAGTGAACAGATGTTGGGGAAAAATATCCCCGTGCAATCACACATGCATTATCACATTCACAGGCACAACACTGAAGACCATAGCCAGATGTTTCAAACATAGGTGCTTTTCACACACAGGATAGCATAATTCAAACACTAAGTTGCCAGTAGAATGTGGCCAGTAGCATTTCATTATCACTGGCCCCACCATTGTAACCACTGGCCCAAGAGCATTCGTCCAAAAACATCGACTAATAATGAAGAAAATGAACACATTTGTTGCAATAGTAATTTATGCACAAACTACATTACTACTTGTACTACAACATTTGAATCATCAGTTCTTCCTAGTTTTCCTCAATTGTTCATATTTGGTTTATTAAAATTATTATATTGTGGTCATTGTTAAAAGAAAAAAAGGAGGGTGACATTTCTGCTATGAGTATTGTTATTTTTATAATACACTTTCTGCCTTCCTGTCATTATCAGGAGTTAGAAATGTAATGGCTATGTAATAGAGTTGAACCTTCATTATCCTAAACTGCTGGGACATTTCCCTATAGTGAATATACCTTTATATGTTCTACTCTTCACTTACTTGTCAGCATAGGTCGGCATTGATGTACAGAGCCGACAAAAGACCTTGTTTACATCATCATATTGAAGCCAACTCCATCGATCAAGCCGGTGTGGCTGAAACTTTCTCTCCCTCTTCTTCTCATACTCCCTGTCACTCTCCTTTAACTCCTCCGGTGACTTTCTTTTATTTGAGCCAGGCGCTTGGCCGGTTATCGCTGGTATTAAAAACATTTTGGCGAATGGTTAGGTGGCGCGAAAGTCTGTAGTGAAGGAGCGCGCTCCCGCACACGGGAGCCTGCTCGAGTCGCGCTCCCGCACACGGGAGCCTGCTCGAGTCGCGCTGCGCTCTACTCCAGATCGCAGCAAACAGCTGTTTGCTTTTGATCCAACAATGACAACCGCCTCACGAAACGCTATGTTGTAGCGTTATTAAACGAAAAAATGTAACAAAATTGCTTGTCAAAATACCAATACCACAGGACAATGTGATTGTATGTCTTACTGTTTTTTTGTTTTTTTAAAGCAATATTTTGAATGGCCCGAGTGGGCAAGTGGAAAGTACGTTATGCTGGCCCGGGGTGTCTAAATAGTGCTTCCGGGCCAGCGGGCCATTTATAATGTCTAGCCCTGAGATGCTTCCCAAATAACTTTGTATTAACATAAGGCTGTGGTCTTTGTCTGGTGTGTATTTGTGTGGCAGTGTGTCTGACTGTAAATAGGTCATCCATGTTGACTGAGCCTTTATATTCAGTCAGCAGAGCGTAGATTTCCTCAACCCTGGTATCTCTTTTTCTTATGATTTGTCATCTAGCAGTCAGCAGGTTATTAGAGACAGCTTTTACATTTTAATGTCGCAAACCAACCAGGGTGCAAACTTGACAAGATTTCACTTTTCAGAGAAAAGCTGACAGTTTATGCTCGTCGTTGCTAAGTAGCTATAAATCCAATATTAAATCTGTGCTTAGTCACTCCATTATAAGCCCAAGTCAGCTGTGAATAGCAGCTTCTTAACACAGTCGCACTGAATGGGAAAGAGAAGGAACATTTGAACACTATGAGGAAAGACAACTGTGGTTAATTTCTTAAAAGCTCAAAGGTTTTCATTAAAGTCTGGAATTTTCTGTTTGGTCATATTATTTAACAATCAATATTAACTTGAGCAGGTTAAATGAAATAACCTTTTTTAGTCTGCACATTGAAATCAAGTTAGTTTGTCCCCTGTAGTCTCCAAAAGTTTTCAGAATGCCTGCATTATAATGAAGTCAGTAAAAAAAGAAAGAAAACAACAACGCCCAAACTTAGACCCGAAACAAAGAAAATGTTTTATCACTACATAATTAGGCAGGAAAAATAGAAGCCTTTGGTAGTCGCTCATAGAGCAGGATGCCCTCATTGACGAAACGTACAATACCTGGGGTGGGAACATCAAGATAAAATATGAATAAAAAACTAGAACAGAAAGAACACAAAA